GATCCTCCGCAAGACGAGGACCGACAACAGGTATTTTATCACCGCGTTCCACCTCACCACGCGCTTGTCGCGCGCCCCGTGCCTAACAAGTCGACTGAGCACGTCCTTCGATTTATAGAACTCGTACTCTCATTCGGTACGCCGCAAGCCGTCATCACCAACAACGACAGAGTCCTAACCTCTCGTTCGGCTTCGCGGTACTTCGCCGAAGGGCACATTCAGAGCATCCCTAACAGTATACTTTACGCTCCCGAAGCTAACGGCTTTGTCGAACGCGCCAACGGAAAAATCCTTCCATGTCTGCGCGAAAGAACGTCAACGGCGACATCGACCATTGGAGCGATTACCTCCAGGCAACCAGCTTTCAAGTGAACCAGCAGCCGTACGCCGGACTCCAGACATCACCGTTCGAACTCCTGTTCAACTTTGTCCCACGTTGACCAATGGAATTTTCCCCGCTTCCCGACGAGGTCGGCGACGTCCGCGCGAACTGCGACGCTGCAAACGCGAACCTCACTTACCTTCACGGCATGAAGCGTTCCTCCTACGATGCAAAACATCGACCAGCTCCATACAGCGTCAGGGACAGGGTATGCTACACGAACGGCCTTCCTACCTCGAAACTTGGCCTGCTTTTCCACGGACCGTACGTTGTCACTTAAGTCATCACCAACGTGAACAATCAAACCTACACCATTTCCGGGTTTACCCCGCAAGGCACACCGGATTGCCGCCAAGCTGCCGCACGATAGCTCTTTTTTTTTTTTTTTTTTTTTTTTTTTTTTCACGAACAACCTGCAGTGATTGACGTCGATTTCAACCAACTCGCCTTGCACCGCGGCAGATCCTCCGATTACAAGCGCATCACGCCGACGCTGCCCTCCACGATGGCTAGACGCATAACGAGAGGATCATGACAACATTAACAAAATGTGCGAGGGCGCAAGGATTTTGAGCTCGGGAGTGTAAGCAAATACGCTGGCGGCAAAGACACGTAAGGAGAGCCTCCCCGACTCGACCGGATGGGGGCTCGACTTCGACCCCCGATGCTGGATCTCCACGTGAAAACGAGAAAGGAGGACCCCTAGAAACACGATGTGTCAAGAACAAGCCAGGCGTGTGGATCAAAATAAAATACGTTTGAAAGAAGCCTGAAAACGGACGCGAATATAGCCCGGCTTGCATCAAATTATTTCACAAAGTTTTCATTAAATCGTTTTGCAGTCTACAAAACCGTTCATTCCGTTTAATTCGTTATAACACCTTAAAAACACAGGCGAGCTGGTGAAGAACTTCCATAGTAACGGGAGACACGGAACGATAAAAATAACGGACAAGACAAGTCTCAAACACAACTTTTATACCCGTTTTCACGTCGAGAACTCTAGTAAAAAGAGTCCGACTCCTCACGAACCATTACTAATTTCCACCTTTATGTGGAGAATTAAGATATATGATGCTGGATTCTAATATATATATTATCAAGACGTGCACGTTCCAGCGCCAAAATCATCACTTTTTTCTCCGACAACCAAATCTCGTAAGACTTTGCGTCGCGTATAGGAACATCTTTGTTTCATGTATGTGCTTTCCCCCTCTGTAATGCCTTTGGGCCCTGAGGGTACTTTAATAAATAAATAAATAAAAAAATGCTCAAAACTTTCTTTTTTTTTTTTCTTGAAAAAACGGGTATAGTTTACTTGAACAACGAACGCTCTTATATATACGTCAAGAGTCAAAATCCTCACCACCAAAAAATAACTCTTTAAATAAAGGGTATCACCATACACCCTTTTGTCCCATATAACGCACCCCAAAACTTTAGTTCGACGCACAGCGCACAGACGGCCATACATTTTACGAGGGGCTTGATAATGGAGCGATGTAACTTATTAAATAGCTGAAGTACGTATCAAAGACCACAGAAAGAAAACACTGAGGTTTTGCAGTGGGGCTAAGAAAACCCCGATTATTTTTTTTTTTTGTAGTCAGTAAACGTACATTAGCTATTTTAATAAGTTGTACCACAAGGCTTTTAAGCCTCTTGTGAAAGTTAGTACTGTCAGATCGACGTCTGAAGTTTTGGGGTGTCTTATATGGGACAAGGGGTGTGAGAATACACCCTTTTTTTAGAGTGTAGTTCACCGAAAGCCGGACACTCAGACAGATCCAAATGATTCATGGTCACACCAACCTGCCACCCAGATGACCCCGCTTGATGACTGACCAGCCACATGCGATAACAGGCAACTCCACCAGAACCCTTACTAATATGATACACGCGTGACGAGATGTCCCTACGGCGTGCAATTCGCTTAACGAGTGTCGATGAAACGATCGTGTCGACAAAACGTGTGTCCGTGAAACGTGTGCCCATGAAAAGTTGTCTGGGATACGCAATTCCACGAAACGAGTTTCGACGGAATGAGAGGGTCCCGTACACCACTCCTACGTGACAAGTTACATCTGGGTTTTTTATGTTTTTTTTCTCACACACCTGAGGAGCCCCAGAAAGGGGGCTAACCTTTATAATTTGTGCTGAGCTTTTAAACCTAAATTTACACCAAACCTCTTTGCCACTGACATAAAGTTATGAGAGATTCCGTGGTAGTAAGGCACACACACAACATTCTTCACAACCGCCTTTTCCACGGGAGCCGGATTAAACCTTCAGCACCTTGAGCACAGCTCTAACAATTACATCGTGGTGATGGCCCGCTTCCAAACGACGCATCTTTTTCAACTCAGCTGCCTCACCAACCCAAAACATACGGGATTCTTTACAGGCGTAATCCATCGCAGAAGCAATTACACCACTCGTAACTATTTTCAAGTGACAGCTGTCAGCTGCCAACAGAGGCTTGGCTGATTCCTTGCCGTACCTCCAGCACAGGCCCTTTTCCGTGTGCAACAGTAGGATCTATAAGTACTTAATTCGACTGTTGCGATGGCAGGATTGTGCGGTCCAATCGACAAGGACCGCACAACCGTGTCAACGTAAACATAAGTCTCGTAAAAAAAAAAAAAAAATCTCGGACAACACTGGAGTAATTCACGACCGGATACACACACCCTGTTTTTGAATAAAAAGAGAACCATCAAATTCTACGGCAGTGGACTCTAAATGAAACTCCAGAATGCTGATAAAACTATCTACATCAATCCCAGTGGCAGACTGCAACTTTACTAGATTATCATCACACCACCTCCTGACCCTTATTAAGAGCTCAGACTTATCCATAGAGTAGTCCTTGATGTCTACAGTTGTCACATCGCACCTTCTTCCATGATGCAGATTCAATATTTCAATGAATAGCTCAGAGTTCTTGAGTGACAATAGACTGTTGCTCCACTTCTGTCAGGCATTTCTGGATAAAAACCGTCCAGACCTTTTGCCAAGCTCAATTTTCGTTCACAACCATTTTAACAATTGCACCAGGATGGGATTGTTACAGTTGCTCAAGGTGTAAGGAGGAACGTACGTTTAATCCGGCTCCTGTGGGGAAAAAAGCCGGTTGTAAAGAATGTTGTGTGTGTGCCCAACTACCTTGGAATCTCTCATAACTTTATATTAGTGGCAGAGAGGATCTGTGTAAATTTAGTTTTCAAAGCTCAGCACAAATTAGAAAGGTTAACCTCCTTTTAAGGTGGTCCTCAGGGGTGCCAGAAAAAAACACGTGCACAAGACGTGCCGGAACTATTGATGGCGTCCGCCTCAATTATCTCTCTAACAGTCTTATCTTTGTGCCTAGCGAGAACGGTAGAAGAAGCAAATAATGGTTTTCACCTGCAGTCATGCGAGGTTTCAATTGACTGCAGAAAAAAGGGATAGTGTATTTGCGGTCCGCGGCGGGGCCACGGATTGGTTGAGATGTGGTGCAGTGACGCAGTGTGTATCTACGCTGAGGCTCTTGGATTAAATCAGTTTAAAGTAAGCGCTCTGTGGTGCTCTTCCGCTGTCTATGTCTTAAAGCGCAATCATGTTTTCTCACGCACAATACCAACTCGCCCAACAATCAGCAGTGGTAGGAGAGTTCTGAGGGAGACCACGCGTATTTTGACCTCTGGTAATTGTATAAGCACACCGTCCTTGGCATTGGACAGTAATATGAAGCGTTTTTTTTTGTTTTTTTTTGTGTGTGTGTCTCTATAAGGTCTTGTTTTATGGGTTTTCTAAGAATTGTAAGGGCTGTGCTGGAGCTGGAGTTGCCTGTTATCGCATGTGGCTGGTCAGCCCTCAAGCGAGGTCATCAGGGTGGCTGGTTGGTGTGAATTATTTAGATATGCCTGAATCATGAATCATATGGGTTCTCTCTGAATGTACGGCTCTCGGTGACCTAGTGAAGAGGAGGTGTTTCTTTTTTGGTGGTGAGGGTCTCGAGGTATATATAACAACGTTCGTTGTTCAAATAAACTACAAACTGTGTTTGAGACTTGTTGTTTTGTCCGTTTTTTTTTTTTTTTTTTATCGTTCCGTGTCTCCGTTTTCTATGGAACTTCTACATTTATTGATATATTTACAAGAGTAAAAATGAAAACGAAAAAAGCATACAGACACCGGTGTATCTATTCATTTTTTATGCTTAATATAGTAGGTAAAACTCATACAGAAGCAGAAAGAAAAAACACATATACCTCCCCCCCCCCCCCCCTCCGAAAAAAAAAAAAAAAAAAAAAAAAAAAAGATGGCGGCGCCGGCGGCGCGCCGAATTTATTGTGCGGCGGCGGCGGCGGCGTGCTGGCTCTGGAGATTCCGGCGGCGGCGCAGGGCGGCGAGAGAGCAAAACAGGCGGCGGCGGCGGCGCGGCGCGGCGGCGCACAGGTCTACGCGCAAGCCTGGAAGGAGCCCTTCTACAATCAACCATCCATCTCACACGTGACATGTCACGCGCACCAATCACCAGAGAGATCGCGGTCACGCTGGGCACAAAATCGTTTAAACTTTTTATGACTAGGCTTCACCGAGACCTTGGGTAAAGTCCCTGGGCTAGAGTGACAGCCTGGCGTCTTCCTGGCGAAGCTTGTAGTTGAATTTTCTGTAACGCTAGGTGGCGGAGGCCACCGTCCTCTCCGAAAGGCTCAGCCTGAGGTGTCATCTATCCAGACATGTCTCTTTCCGGCTTTTCCGAGCTGTCCATCCAGTCAATCACGCACCTGCCGACCTACACCGTGCTGCCGACCAACGAGGTTGGTGTCGACGTGCGCGTTGTTGGTGTCGTTACGCGAGCTCTTGTGATCGCCGTCGAAACAAGTGCTATGAGTCGGCTTTGACATGATGCATATAACACGTACGGCATTCCATCCAGTTTCATATGTCTCATACACATGTCCAGTTCTCTCGGCCACCGGCACGCTCCCAACACTTCACGACCAGTTCCCCGGACAAGTTTGCAAAGGAGAAACGCGAGATTCTCCAGGCCGCCGATCTGAGCCGCAAAGGTGCCATAGATGCTCGGATCGAGCACGTCGTGGAGCATCTGAACGCGCGTCCGCAGTACTACACCACCAGCTCCTGTTCGGGGCGGACAGTCCTGCTCTCTCAGGTACGCGGAGCTAGCTTTTCTCCGGGTTCGGCGATCGCGGACAACGTTGGGCGCTTGTTGCTCAACAAGCCGAATTTGCAGGACAGTTCTGGTGATACCGTGAGGAAAAAAGGGTGCGTATGGCTCAACGTCAGCCACGAACTGTTGGGTCAAGGTGAATTGGTGAGTCCACTGCCGCTTGGGCGAAGAATAAATAATGCTAAGAAAGACAGTGCGAGGCGGGAAAGGGTGCGCACGTGAAAAGCCGTTGTGGAAAGGAGGTCGCTCCTCTCCACTTTCGTTGCTGCTCAAGAAGGTAGGGCGAGGGTAAGGTTGCTGGGGAGGAGGAAGCAGACGGAAGGCTGGAGAAGAGAGCGGAAACCTCCTCTTCTCTTTAGCGTTCCGTCTGCTTCCTCCTCCCCAAGCATCTTTACCCTCGCCCTACCTTCTTGAGTTGCAACGTGCTATAGTATCCACCCTTTTTCCCCCTCGCACTAACTTTATTATGTTGTATCTAATTTTTTTAAATTTTTATACAGCACATTATCTACACACGCAACGTTCACTTTGGGCGGTGCCTAACGCTAGCAGTCACTGTAGTTTTAATTTCATTGGCAAGTGAAGTTGGAAGTCATTAAAGGGATGGTGAACCGAAATTTGGATTTCAAAAAACAATGCAGGAGCAGTAGCTGGGATGCTACAATCCCTACAACACCACTCGTAAGGCGATATCTCGAATGGATGACCATATTTTCGGAAAAAGAGGTTGAGATTGAACGAGGCCGACGAGGCACATTACGTTACGTCAACATATGTCGTTTCCTCCTCTTTTCGCTTCACCATCTCAAGGCAGCGAGTTGGAGAAGACGTGAGGCCGTTTTCTCTCTTTCTCGACTCTTCTCGAAGAAATGACGTCAACATATCTGTCAAATGCGCCTCCTTTGTTTTTTTAAAAATATGCTCGTCCATTTAAAATATCATTGTACGAGTAATGTTTTGGTGTTTGTAGCGTTCCGTTGCACGCTTCTGCCACCGTGTTTTTTGGAATCCAGATTTCGGTTCGCATCCCTTTAAAAACAAATCTGGTTGGTCGAGCCCTAGTGCTTGAACTAACTTTGAGCTCAGCCAAGGTCAGCAATCTCAGCCAGAGGAAACGGGCGACAATTACATTCGCCTGACCATGGCATGTTGAAGTTGCGCATCCAGAATAATTATTTATCCTAGCTGTTGGGAACAGCTGATATGCTGAGTAAGCTCATACAGCTGTTATAGAAACCTGTTGTCCTCAAAGATGGCGCTCTTGTAGCATTACTGGCCTGGCCATTGTTTGTCCTTGGAATAATTTACATTCTTTTTTTTTTTTCTTTTTGCAGGAGTTGTCGCTGTCTAGCCACACTGGCTCAGCAGTGCTCAAGTTCGAGCCTTTCATCTTGCATGTTAGATGCCACACTTTGGAGGATGCGAGAAAACTGGTAACTTCAGTGCTGTAGACTTCCAAGTGACTGCCTTTTGGTTGTTTTTGCTATGCACGCCTAGAGGGAATATGTGTTGTGCGACACTGTTAGCTCCAATGTGACATTGGCGCTTTTTTGCATTTTTCTTCAAAGGGTGTCAGCAAACGTAAAGTTTTCTCCCTTATATTAGTGCCCTGATCGAAAACTTTCCCAAACACAAGCCGTTTTGATGACAGCCCTTTGATGCTAAGAGAAAAGCAGAAAAACCGCAATCACTTGTTCGAGCTCACTGTGTTGTGCAATGTACTTCATGCAGACTTTATATATGCCACAGCAGGCTCAAAGTTGGAATGTTTCCAATATCTATGTAAACTGCATTTTGCATAAATATTCACATATAATTTATGTGAATGTCGCCATAAATGCCCTAGAACTTGCAATAAGCTGTTGGGTATGAGTCAGTCTTGTCTGAGGATTACATGTGTAACCATTGCAGATTCATCGCTTTCAATTGTTTACACTCTTTGCACGAGAAAATCATCCATGCCTGTCATGCCCTTATATTTGTTGTTCCTACTAGCTGCTACTAGTAATCTTTTTAGACAATGTATGCTAATGTTATAGGGACCATGAAATGATTTTTCAGCCTCTTGCTCAGATTTAATGCTCAACTCAAAAGCGAAATTAGAAATCATCTGGTTGTCATGTGCTTTGGCACCTGAGGCAATAACTCCAAGATTCCACCATGCATCTTAAGCACACCATGCAACTTGTCACTCGCGAGTGATGATAAGTGCCGTCACACCATGCATTGGCCGCGAATTCAAATTTTCGTCGCTGGATTGATTGTTGACGAGCGCATGCGCCCGAGTTACGCAGTGCTCACGTCTAATGGATGAGCTGGGGTCTGCTGACGTGCCGGGGCACCGCGGATGAATAACAGTGAAAAGGCAGAGAACTTTTGAAGGAAAGGAGGTACAAAAATTTGTCCGCTACATTTTCAAATCTCCTTACCAGAAAGCAGGCTTTCTACGCTTGTCTACTAGTGTTTTTTTTTTTTGGTGCACTGCAAGATATGCAGTTAGTAAAATCCCAGTTTATCCCAGCTGAAAATTCATTTCATGGCCCCTTTAGAAGGACCAGTATTAACCTAGATGATCCTTTGGGTCGTCAGCTTGCCACAAGCATCGGTGCAGGGTGCCGCAATTCTGGCATCATGATCAGCAAGACTGGAAGTGTCCATGTGGTATGTGAAATTTCTTCTTGCAACCTGCAGTTCCTTGCTGCATAAAGGAGATGCTTAAGTGGATGTATGCATGTCCCATGCTCCAGGCCGTCAGGACCACTCTCTCGATGGAAGTGCCGCTGTCCCAAAATGGAAACCTCCTCGTCTCCGCTCAGGTAAAGTTTAGCAAGTAACAGGTATCTAGAAAACTAGGTTAATCACTTGGAAATCCTCCACAAAATGAGATGACTGGATGTGGTATGCTGGAAGATCCCTCGATGCTGTATTCTGACTTTGTTTGCGTAGAAAGAGGAAAGTAAAAGATGGGCCCCCTATTGTCTATGGCAGAGCGACAACTGGAAATATCCACTGGCAAACTTATTTCTAGACCACTGCAGGAATTGAAGCCACATTCACGATTGGTCCCCATCTGATGGAGTGTCTCATCGAGGGAAGAGACGCACAACAAACATTCTTTTATAAAATGATGCATACTTAAAAACACGAGTAGTTTAGGCCGTTGGTGCGCTTCGTTTCTACATAGAATGTGTAGCCGTCAACAGGTTTCTACGATACAAGAGTGACGCTTTCTCCTACAGGTGGTAGAAATACGAGTGTCATCTAATTTTCTGACGAGCTCTAACTTTGCCACGGGAGTTGTCTCTCATTGTCTCGTTTTCATTTTATATAAGTATATTTTTTTCTAGTCTTATTGCTATGAGTATTTACACACTTGAGTTCTCTGGATCAGGCATTGTGTTAATCTCCGGTGGCAGTTTGAGCAGTGTGAATTTATTAACAATGAAGAGCAATGCTGACTTGCTGGCATGCAAGCCCTAAGAGGTATTCAATATATTGCCACAACCATGGTGTTGTGGCAGCTGCAAGACAAAGTTTCTCCCTCTCATCACAGTTTAACTTATAAGCAAACAACTATTTTGCTGTTCCAGTACCTGGAATTCCTGAGGAGTGAGGCCAATGCAAAAATGGCAAAGAACTGGGCACGTCTAGAAAGGTAAAAAAATGGGCACATTTGGCTGGAAAAGATAAGCGTTATAATTTTCATGCACAACTTTTGAAACTGCAGGTTTTCTGCAGCACTGAAGGATCTACAAGGGACGAGCAGACCTGGGGAAGTCCGTCGCGTCTTTTGTGGTGTTCGTCCTCTTCACCACGACAGAAGGAACAATGCCGACGAAGTGAACGATCCAACGGACTGTTTGGTCAGCCTGCCTTCTCTCTTCGACGGTGCCTTGTCCTCGTCATAAACGCCAAGTGCCTGAAACTCTTCTCTGGATGTTTTTTTTTTTTAATTAACAACTTTTGTGTCCTGCTCAATGTGTCAAGAGTAGGCGGAAGAGTTTGCTCCAGCTGATTTCAACTATGTGCAAACAGCTACATTTGCCTCTCCACATCGCTATGTGACATAGAAGACAATTGGCCAGATTGCAATTTCATTTTAAGAAGTTCATTGCTTTGTTTCCACATCATGTCGAGAATACTGACGGCATCCCGTGGGCAAGCTGTTCACCATGAGCAATCATCATCACTGTCTTGCCAAGAGGCAACCCAGAACGGCACAAATTTGAGTGATTTTTCTCTGCGTGGTTCTTAAAGTTCCGACGTCGCCCGCCATCACGTTTACGTCGACAGGTAGGCCTAGCCTTCTCCTGTCCATGGCAGTCGTCTGTAGCTTCAATGTCCCACAGAAATTTATTAACAAAGTATTATTTTCCACACTGTGAAAGAGTATCTGTGCCAACATTCAAACATTTTTCTCTATATAATTTTGGGGCATTTTCACAGTTTGTGCACAAGAATTTCTGTTACTAATATTGTCCCATCACAACTAAATTTGGCAAGCATATACTTTAGAATATGTCGAATGCAACTACCTAGGTTTGTTTAGAATCTTTATTTTTTTTTTTTTTTACTATTTATGAAAAATGTAAGAAACTTTGTTAGCCTTTTGAAATGGCATTTTTGCTATTTTTAATTATTTTAAAATGAAAGAAGCGTCGCTCACATTCTTTTTGTTGTTCATTGCACTCACTGGTTTGAAAAAGGTGAATTAGGCATGGCGGCGCTTTTTTAAGTGTGTTGCCCCACTTAACAGATGTTTTTTTTCTGTATATACATTGCATTGAGAACTTAAAAAAACAAGTCATATCAAATTACCACCAGATTTACAAAGGGAAGATTAATCACCATAAACTGTAAAAATTTTATAATAAAGAAGTGTTTTCCAGGGTGTCGAACCGATCATTATTTCGGTTCGGGTTCAGTAGCATTGTATTTTGTTCCGGTTCAATTCCAGTTTAGGGTAGCGCACATAATATCACTCCGGTTACCGGTTTTAATAAGCGCAAACCGGTTCCTAACTCGACCTTTGAATATTGTCCGAACACTTCCTGCAGCCTTTTCTGAGCACGAGGTACTTTCAATAGACCCATCTCAATACTACTACCTCTCCGGGGAGATATGAAAACTGCACAGTGACATGCACAACAAACACCATTAATGTTGCAAGGTTATTACCGTATTTTCTGGACTATAGTCCGCACCCGGTGTACAGTCCGCAGGGGGAAATTTGGGGTCAAAAGTAAAAGATTTTGCCTAGATAGCCGGCACCCGGTGCATAGCCCGCACCCGGTGCGTAGTCCGCACCTGGTGCTTAGTCGACACGAAATTCTTCTCATACGCGGCACACCTTGACATATGTACGTTTTCTTAGCTCGCAAAAAAAGCCTATAATATACATAAATTATCAATAACATACTCTTTTATTCATAAAATCCGTCCCATCTCGTCATAATCAACGATATTGAAAAACATAATTCCTGTATAGTCCGCATGCGTAGATAGTCCGCACAGCCAGAAATTTCAACTTTTAAACATGTATAGTCCGCGGACTATAGCCCGGAAAATACGGTACTTGTATATTTGAAATATATATAAGCGATCGGCTTTCCATTTTTATGGTGTCTTTTGCACACCCAGCTGTGCAGTATTTCAAACTCTGCCAGAAGAGGTCGTATTTTCGGGATGTGTCTATTGGACCTTTCCAAAAAAGAGTTTGTGGCCGGTGCCATCTTCAGTGTTTGGGTGTATAGCGCATGCTTTGCTTGCTTTCCAAAGCGACAAACACGCACGTGTTCGGCTGTGATGATTACATGCTGGGCTGTGATTTTATAAACGGTAAAAAGGTCTCTAGCTAGGTTGCTCGCCCCCCATATGTTTTTGTTTGTCTTTCTCTGCACACGAGTTTTTTTTTATACATGCCACCTGTTTTCGGCACCCAGTAAGGTGTCGCAGCTATGCCCCAGAGTGGCCGACAGGGAAACGAGAGGAAACAAATGTGCCGTGAAACATAGACACAGGGGCGTTGAGTGCACAGTTGGGTAGTTTATCGAATCCCGTTAAGCTGTGGTCGTGTATGCATCGGCCAGACTGGCCGATGCGTCAATGTCGGCACGTGAACACGCACGTATAATGAAATGTGACTACGCTTCAGGTTCCAACGGAAAAACGCTGTTCTAAAGATCTCGTGGCGATGCTTTGTCTATAGTAACTTCGAATTTTTATCGCAAACAACGCTCTATGCAAATCATTCGGTCTAAGGGCCTCAGACCGGGTCATTTGTACCTGTTAAAGGGATGGTGAACCGAAATTTGGATTTAAAAAAAACAATGCAGGAGATGTAGGCGGGACGCTACAATCCCTACAACACTACTCGTAAGGCGATATCTCAAATGGACGGCCGTATTTTCGGAAAAAGAGGTTGAGATTAAACCAGGCCGACAAGGCGTGTGACGTCAAGATATCTCATTTCCTCCTCTCTTCACTTCGCCCCCTGAAGGCGGCGAGGTGGAGAAGACGCCAGGTCGTTCCCTCTCCTTCTCGGAGAAACATGACGTCAACGTTTCTGCCAAATGTGCCTCCTTTTTTGAAAAATACGGTTATCCGTTGGAGATATCGCTGTATGAGTGATGTTTTGGTGTTTGTAGCATCCCGTTGCATGCTTTTGCTGCGTGTTTTGGGGAATCCAGATCTCGGTTCAGCATCCCTTTAACCACCGAACAAAGTTCCGGTAATGCCACTCCAGCAAACGTTTCTCGAATACTCGGTTGAAGACGATGAAAGAGAACTTCAAACAAAAATGAGAAAATGGTTGAACAGGCGACATGCTGGCCCTTGCTAGTCTGACAAACCTACAAAAAAAAAAAAAAATACAGACACAATTTCTTCTTTACCCCCCCCCCCCCTCACCCCGGCCCCCTTTCAGGGCGCAGCACGTCGGCGAATCATCGCAGAGTAACATTCACTAAAGCGGAAGGTCACATGGTGTGCTCTCGGTGCTCGATTGGCTAAATGGCTCATCGACCAATTATGGACCTTCTTAAGGTCAAACATTCGTGGACGCGTAGGCCTCCATGCCTACAGTGGTGCAATCCGCTCCGACACTTGGACATTTCATAGCTTAACGGCCAAGCGGTGCTTTGAAATCGCAGCCGCCGCTACTGCACTGCCAGGGTCAATCCAAGAAACAGGAAAACGGAAGCCCTCCAGACGATGATGTATTTTTTATTACGTATGCAATAAAAACAAAATGTAAAAATATCTCGCAGTATGTAGGATTAGTCTTGGCAACACAAGAAAAATATACGCCCACAACTTTTTCCATTAAGACCAATTATTGACACAATTGGCCCTGAACCGTTTTCGTTGAACCGGTAACCCCCGCATCAGATTATGGTTGCGTTCCGGTTCGGGTTCAATATGAAGCGTTCGATTTCGGTTTTGTTCCGGTTCGGTCAAAAATAAGGGTTTTGATCCGGTTTTCGGTTCGGGTTCAGTTCGACACCCTGGTGTTTTCCCCTGCCTGGCACCAGAGGTGGACTTAGCATTTTTCCTCCCCCTCCCCCTCCCCCCCCCCCCCCCCCCCCCCCGCCCACGAAGGGTTGGGAGGGGAACAAGAAAGGGGATAAGGGAAGTAGATTAGTTTGGAGTCAAAATTTTCAAAACTAGCTAAAATTTTTAAAGAAGCTAAATTCTGAGCTGGATTAAGAAAAAATAGTCAATTAATTTGGGGGCGGCCACAAGTTGGCCACCCCCAAAGTTCTGCCATCTGCAGCTCTTACCCTGCCTATTAATCAGTTTGCCCCTGCCTGGTGCATGTCCCCTTAATGACTTCCATCTGCACTCTAGCAGTCAGCTCCACACAGTCTGCAAATGGCAAAATGTAGGCAGGAGCCCATACTTTCCAGTGGGGAAGCTGCTAATAGAAATGGCAGAAACAAACAAATCTTGTTGAAACTTTATTGTTTACAGCAATACACAGTAAATAAGGAACGATGAAACGGCTGCCATAAACACAGGACACATTAAACCGTTCATCGACAATCCTGTCAGTAGCTTGCAGGTACATCAAACCAGAACAGTGCTGCAAAAGAGTGCTTATTTACGGCCAACGTTGCACCGCTAGCTAAAAATGTAGCACTGCTCCTTTCTTTTTTCATAATTTCATACTAAGCAACATTCCCCTACCTTGTTTATGTATATATGTTTATATTAAAAAAAAAAGCACAAAGGCATACTTTTGCGAGTCTGTTATCGGCAGACTCCAGGCATGTTCTGGGCGCAAAAAGAAAGGACCTGAACCATAGCAGTGTCTATACAAGGTCCCTCACCTGAACATTTATCCTGCAGTTTATTAGATACGGCTAAGGTTAGCCGTGTTCTGTGACAACTGCCTGCGAGAGTGCAGTTCAAAAGCCTGGGCATGCGCATATATGTTTTTGCTCGAATCTGTATCCGCATATCTTTCCAGGAAAAAGATGCAAAGCTAAAAGGGCTGCCAGTCTAGTTTCCTGCATAGCACGCAGTGCGATTCATTCCAGCCTACAGAGGGAGCCCAGCAAATGACGAGACCAAAAAGAAAGGGAATACTGCACTGCGACCGACATTGGGCCCGACACCTATTCCAATACGGACTAAAGTTGAAAGTCCATGTTTTTCTGGGCATTGTCGTTCACTGGGTTCGTAAGCTCACCATGGTTTGATCTCTGCACACTCCGGGAAAAAGCAGACAAGTGGCCTTCTTTGGGGTGCCTGCGATTGTTTGACCGTCGTGTCAGGCAACGCAACGGCATCGAGGTCCGTCGCTTTGAAGACTGTAGCAAGTCACTGAGGCGTGCATACAGCATCCAGTGTGTGTTACCTCCGTGTTTATGGTTTTCGTCCAAATGAGTCCTAAGACACCTCACTTGAAAGGGCAGAGATATTTTCTGCCAGTAGATCCAAACGTGAGAAGAAAAGACGACGACCAGCTGGGGAAGGGGTCTTAGTATCTACAGGAGTGTCGCACGTGAGCAGCGTGGAGGCAGGCAGATCAGGAGGAGGCCATGCCAAGGAGGAATCCTCCCAGGAAGCCCGTGGCAAGAAAGATGTTGTCCTGGACGAACTAATTGTTGGCCCTGCAACAACAAGGGCGCAAGCTTAACGCAATTTCCCGGGCACACGAGTCCTCCAAAGCAGCGAGAGAGAAAAATGGCTTATTAGACAAAGGGTTCACCAAGCTTAATGATGCTGGCTCGCTATTTTGTGCCCCCAAAGTAGTGATTTGTTTTGCTACGTAAACCGGTTATTTTTTCACTTGCAGCATCTCAATTCTTTCCCACCACCAGGGAAATGTCGCCCGAGATATTCAGTGCAATCCCCTTATAGTGATAATGAGGAAACACGAAAATTCAATCGTTATAACTGATTATCGTTGTATCTTGACAAGAAACTGAGCGTTTCTAGTCTAGAAACTCTAGAAATTAATTGTATTACCTATATATTTTAAAACTCAAATGCCCAAGCACAATAAGGTAGTTCCTTTTCTATCTAAATATGAAAACACATTTCACTATATTCTGGCTTAAATAGAGGCCATTTAAACATATTAGATTTAAAAACTTCTATAAACCCGGCCCCCAGGTCTACCTATAAAAAAAAAATCAGTTTTCAGTAAAAAGAATTTTAAACTGCCAACTTTCTCAATTTTAACGAATTTTAAGTGATACTGCAGGAAATAATATGCACTGAATGATTCTAGTATATTCATAAAGAGCTCCTTTTGGGCTTTCAACGAACATAGAAATTATAAATATAACTTTGGCAGGTCGCAGATAGCAGCCTGTCAAATTTCTTAAGAAAAAATCAACCTGGGGCCAAGTTTGGCAATTTCTTTAAACAAATGTAAAAAGGCCAAAAATATTCAATTACCTTACGACCTCTTCACCGTCCCGAGTTATGTACAAAATGAAAATAGCAGAGGCAGCAAGTCAAACATGCGACCTTCGACTGTTGGGAAAAATTTATGGAAAATCGCTAGGCATTGCATACATGAAACATTCTAACATCACAAACGTTTAGCGATACTTTCCAGACATTCCCAGCACTCCTGATTAGACACGATGTCTGCACTTGGTAGTTGTTCCTAGAAGGAAACAACACTACCGCTAGTCGGGCTGATAAACCTGGCGATCTTCCAGAGCCTCCCCTACTCTCCGCTCCCTCAGTGCGCACAGGTGGTTGATCTCCTCGCCCACTCCTGGTCACATGACCTCCTCATTGGCTGATCCACACGACGGATTGATCACGCGACTACACGTCCGTGGTTCGTCCATCTCCCAAGCGCATCCGCAGGAAGGAGACGATGAGCAGACGCCAGCAAGGACGGCCCCAACATGTTCGCCACCCCACAGTACTGTGAAACTCCAACATTACAGTGTGGCACCGTTGTCCAAGAGAGAAATAGACGTTTGCTACCACGATAAAGAATCGTACGCCGCTGTTACGTACAAAGCGAGACGCCACTAGCTTTACTAACCCAAGACACGACAGCCAAAAATTCGCGAGTGAGAAGGACCTCGACTTTATCAGTCTGCGGCCAGGCGCAGATTGCAGGAATCGGTGACGTGACAGTCACATGGTACATGGTCCACGGACGAAAATCGCGAATCGGTCCGTCGTGTGAATCGGCTATAACCAATCAGCATCGAGCACTTTCCCCATTCCTCCTCTCCCGCCCATCAACCAATTAGTTTCGAGCCTCGCGGCCACACTTTTATCCAGGCTTCAGTTTTGGGCTTCACGAAATGCCATACACTAACAAGTTTTGTTCTCAAGTTACGGAGCACCGAAGCGGCCACCGCGGCCGCTTCGGTGCTCCGTAACTCGAGAACAAAAAATTATCTGAACCCGCAGCTTTCACTTTTCTTTTACATAGAAAATTCCCTACAACATACAATTTTTTTGGGGTCAAAATTGTACATTCAACTTTTTTTGCCTGCATGATTCGAGATGAAATCACTTATAGTGTCTGAGGCCGAGAGTCCTGCTAAGCCAGGTTCTTACGAAGTTGCTATGCAGTACTTTGGAAAGTGGTGGCATTCTGTTTACGGGAAGCATGAGATGCTGTAAAGACCCTATGCTTCCTTCACCACCAACGTTTGGACAAAACTGCTGGAGCCTAGAGAGAAAAAGAGCGGGCCAAGGGTGCATTCTTGCCTCCTCGACGATTCTGGGCAGCTTGCTGTTGGCCCTCCTGGCAAGCTCATTCTTGGCCTGCTGCATGTCCTTGTTTAGCCGGGTCCAGTTCACCTTCACATAGCCCTGGTGCTGCGCTATCTGAAGGAACGCAAGCACAGCACAGCTCTATCACGGCTGCATTGCCCACAGTAACTGCAGATCACGGCGGCAAGACAAGGGGTTTGAAACTATCGGTGTACGCTCTGTCTAGGTGTTTTTTTTACAATGCTTCACTTTTGAGTTTTGCTTTACTGTTGTTAGCTTACCAATAGACTGATAAAAGAAAGTTACTAGGCAGCCCACGAACAAGGGCCGGTGTAAGCTGACTGCAAAGTGTCTAAAAATTATGTTAATTCTTTTATAGCTTCCCAGGGGCTCAATGTGCTGCCCAACTTTTCCCAAAACGTTTCGGACAAATATTTCTTTCCCAGACTAACTGAGGATAAGACATGACATTGTTCTTGCCGTCGGAACAGGCTGCTACCACAGCTGGCACAAGTGTGGCAAGCATGCTTCCCTTCTCTCCCGCTACCACACACGGTGCCAGCAGAGTTTTTTGAATGCTTAACTGACCAGGTTCTGTTTGGAACAGAACTTGGTCGCTATTTCCTGGGGTGTGTCTGCTACGTGCCTCAACTTTAATATCAGACATCACCTCCGTATTATTTGACTGCATGCCATGATATCGTATGGGGAACAAATGTAGAGTGTGCACGCACACTGAAATAGTTCGACCGAGCGACCCTGACCGCTCAAAACAGAGCAGTCTTTGTGCGTAAACCTGCGTCGTCGATAAACGAATGACAAAGCTGGGCACGGCACTAAGACGGCGTTCCTACCTGGAAAAGCAGCAGGCTCCCTCCAATGGCCGTTGCAGCCACCTTGCCGGCCTTCGTGAACACAAATCCAACGCACCTGAAAGATGCGAGATCGTCACTTCTATCACCGACACCTTAAATTTTCACCCCCCAGGAGGGGGGCTTAGTGAAGGCAGCATTGTGAAGGAGCTAAGTCTCGAAGTCACCGAAACCAAATACTAGTGGGGCGTCATTGTCAGCTCCCCGAAGCAGAGGGGTGCAATGGTTTCTTGGCTAGGTGGCGCAAGCTATCACCCGATACAAAGGGCATCGCCACACTATCCATCCATTTAGAACCATTCGGTAAGAGCGATTGGGGACTCTCGCCAAATCTGCTTGGATAAAGGTGCCAGCGTAGCGGCACATTCTTCCTGCAATGGTGGTTAACCGGAGGAGGAAGACCGCATTTGTGAGCACAAATTGAGACAGAACAGAAACTTGAGAGGCAGGACAAACCTGCAACCTTACTCTCTCCCTCCCTAAGTCAAGACGGCTCCATCCTTTTTCAACCCCGTGTTATTGTTCCTTTTAGCAACTGGTTCTTTTTAATGATGTTGATTGTCTTCTTTACAATGGATTATAATTAGGGTTCAGTGTTTTCAGTAAGTACTGATAAACCCCAAAAATTAGGCCCCATGTCGCTTCTCTCAAAGTCCGGGAAAACCAAAAAACCCCAAATTGAAGCTGTCCTTCAATAAAAAAAAAACCCAAGCTTCACAAAAAAAAAAAAAAAATTATTACTTTTCTTTTTTTTTACTTAAAACACAGCTTCCAGTAAACTCTGTCCGCGAGGCATCTTGCTTCAGAACCACATATCTCATCTGTTTTTTTTTTTTGTTTTTTTTTGGCGGTGTGGGGGTGTGTACCAAGCATTCGGACGACATGTTCCCCGGAGGTTTTGGAATCCCATGCCTGTGTCTTGTTTATTTCGAACTAGCCCCCTGATAAACCCTGATTTTTCGCTAGACCAAAAACTGATAACAAAAAATCTCGAATCTGTGGGAAAAATTTAACCCCAAAGAAACGCCGTTTAATTGGAAGAAAAATAGCCCCTAAAACACGGAACCCTAATTATAATTAATTTATACTGAGATGGCGAACGATTCTCAGCAAATTTCCAGACTGTAGAATGCAAAGATAACCCCTTGTTTCTTTGTCTGAAGCTCCTGCAACAAGCGGCATATCGCAAGTCAAAATAGGAACAGAAACTATCTTTGCACTGCAATAGTGGCCGTTGGCAGAAGTTGATCCTGGAGGTCGGCTCGCAAACTGCAGTCGAGACGGGCTATTCAAAATGGCAGGGGAAGGAGGCTGACCACCCAGACACGCCTCCCACGGTGAGCTGCTTGGCAGGCGAGGCCTTGGTGAGGTCTCGGAAAAAGCTCACGGGCCACGAGTCCGGTTTGTTCCCCGAAGACCGGAACTGTAGCTTCTCCTTCAGGTCATCCAGGGTCTCTGAAAAGGTTGCGCAACAGACAGCGGCGTCACAAACTCCCGCGAGGGACAGTCCACCAAACCGCCAGGGATGCCTTCTCGGTACCACGGGACAACCAATCGGGTAGGGCAAAGGGTTGCCAAACATACTCCCTTTCGAGCACTAGTCGAGCATTTGAAAAGGCTTCCTAGCTTTCATGAAAGAGAGAGAGAGTGCCGATTACTGGCACCTGAGACAGTGTTGCCACAAACGCTGTCTGAGGCTGCCAAGCACAGCCACACAAAGAAAGCCCCGGCAGAGAGTCTGATGCTCAGAGCAGGCACGTAGCCAAGGGGGGGGGGAGAGGCCACAAGGCCTGAGCCCCCCCCCCAAAATCTTCCATTTTGCTGGGGCCTCCTCTCCCCCTCCCCGTCATACAGCATTTCGTCATGGGCAACGGCAACCGGCCGCCCCGCCCCAAAACAAAATCCCGGCTACGGTGCCTGGCTCGGAAGAGATTCTATGGGAAAGGAAATGCGCAGAGCGAGGGAGGCTGTACGGCAGCACCATCTATAAGAATTCCCGATATCAAAATTGCTTTCTGGCCAAATGCAGGAGCAGCAATTGTTTGCATAGTTATAAATCAATCTTAAAAGCTGACCGGCAAGTTAAATAAAGACTACTATTCGGTTTCTGGTATGTTCCTTAGTTCCTAGCATCCCTCAGAGACTGCTATAACATTTATTTGAGAAAAGTGCAACTAGGAGAAAAATCTGTTTCTTGACCGGTGATGACAAGAGACTGTGATGTTGCCAAATAATAGCAGGAAGGGTGGAAATGTAGCCAGAGCAAGTGTCCTTCATTTGGGGCTTGCACAAGCACTATTCTGACACTAAAATAATAATTAGTGGCTCGGGAAAGCCAATAAATCTGCCAGCACCGCAGAAAGGCAACAGTCAGCCCGTACCATGGAGGTCCACGGTCCCGCGCTTCGATGATGGTGATTATGTGACGATGTAATGTACAAGATGAGGACGATGTGTTCTGATCTTTGCGAAAACCGCTGTCCGAGTTTCACAAGTTCGGGGACAGTTGAGACAAGTCAGCCAGCGAGCCGAGGTTACTGTGCAGGCTGTTTGATTAATGCTTCAGAAGGTAAAGCCCTGGCAGTCTAGTCGGTCTGGTGGTGTGGTCACTCGCTTCAGTGAAGGCAGCGGAATGCAGGAGCTGCCCAGCCAAAGCAGACTGCTGCCACCCCCAAGGCATTATATCCAGAGCTTGAAACGTAGTGTCACGGTCACCCGGTATAGCTTTGTCATTGCTGTCATAGTTGTCCTAAACTACTAAACTAAGGTAACAAAAATCTATATGCTGGACAAATTCAAGTTGACAAACAATTATGAGGCACATTGGCTGCAAGTTTCCGGAAACTAAAACCTCCTTACTTGGTTTCATGCCGACGCCTGTGCCGTGTCACCTGCAAGAAGACCGATCGAGTTTAGTCCCCGAGCAGTAGTGGACAGTCCCAAGCAGGTGGGCACTGAAATTTGTGGCACAATCCTAAAAGTAATGTGCATGAATTATAGTATCATACATGTAGGAATCCTGTAGATAACTCGTACTGACGCCACTTCGCCCAATATTTTGGTAGTTTACCACCACGCATGTTCCTTGTTGCATAATAGCTCGGTGCAAGTGACATCACAATGATAGCGAACGGCATTGCAGAATGATGCCACATTCGTACCAGTTTGGTATGATTGCGCTGTCATTCAACCCTAATGCAATGTTCATAGCTTCATAACTCTCTTCAGGCACTTGAGGAGATAAGAGAACATAGACTGACACAACCAATACAAGGTCAGGGCCTTCTTAAATTGTAGTAAGGCGTCCCAAAAAGGAAAATTTACGAGGACCTTTTTTACCGCAAAAATAAACTATGCATCGCCCAATGCTCATTCTGCACCCCAATATAGTGCTAGGGGTCCGAGGAAGATGCCAAAGTTTCAGCACTAGCTGTTATCTAATTCGAAAGTTACGTGGTTTTCTGAAATTTTCAATGGAAAAATGGCGGCCGAACGAGCTCTCGAATATATGGAGCTCTATGGCGCCAGTTACCGAAAACTGGCAGAAATGTTCCCCATTTTTTCATTGAAATTTGTAAAAAAATCACTTATAACTTCTGAATAATATACCAGTTAGAGCTGAAACTTTGGTATATGGTTCGGACCTCTAGCGGTACTTTTGGGCGTAGAATGAGCGTTCGGCAATGCATAAATTATTTTTGTGGCGAAAAAAGCCTCGCAAAGTTTTTGGGGCAACGCCCTGTAAATAGTGTTTTTGTTTCCCGCGACTCTCAGCTTCCAAGGTGGAAGTGGCTGAGTCGTAGCTGCTTCATCCACTGATCTCTATTATAGTAGGCTGGATCGCGGACCGCGGCCTCGGCAGCTGGGGCCAAGTGTCGCCACCGGCGGCCATTGATTGACACCAGCCAGTGCATGGGACTCTATGGGAAGAACGAGAAAAAGTGCCGTTTCCAAGCCGTTGTCGACACTGAAACATTTTGGATGCTTTTCGATAAGCCCGTCAAATCGCTTGGGTAAAAGCATTAAAACTGACAGCCCTCGCAGTTCTTATAAATACATCTTTTGTGCAGTTCACACTGAAAGGATAAAAACACACAGAAAATACACGAGGGACAGACACACACAGTTCTTTCATGTCTGTCTGTCTGTCTGTGTCTGTCCCTCGTGTATTTTCTGTGTGTTTTTATCCTTTCAGTGTGAACTGTACTCTATCCAACGCACTCTGCTATGTGTACCAAATCTTTTGTGGTCGAGAGTGACTCCGCTGTAATGCAGTTCAATGAGGCGAGAGTTACCTACAGTTACCGCGGAGTTGGTGGCGGTTTCGTTGGGTTTAGCAGACGACAAGCTCGAAGGCTTTGCTACGCGGAATCGGCCAACTCCCGGAAAGCCGCTGTCGAGATGGAACTTCTTTGTCATTCATCAACTTCTGGGCTTCTCCGAGGACGGTCTACTTGACGGCAAGTTGCTTAGTTTACTCCACTATGAGAGCAAGCTTGCCAGTTCAGCCGTAGGTGCTCCGGTACCTTTGAATTTTTTAATCGGCGTTCGAACGTTTGACAAATACCGATCCGATCTCCGAACACCCGACATAAGGATCGCAGCAGACCATAAAATACTCGCCTCCGAGCACAGCGTAAATGCTTGAATATTCTTTTGTGTGTTTCTCCCATAGACTTGCGTGTATTGCCTGGTGTCAAGCAATGGCCGCCGGTGGCGACACCGACGGGCTCCCGATCCGCGATCCAGCCTACTAAAATAGAGGTCAGTGGCTTCATCGTTCTTTCGTTGACCTAGCGTGCTATGTTGCGCTTTTTGGATATTCCCAGGAGACTAGGAAGAGGGAAGTGACGTCAACGACACAGCAAACACAGATTGGATGTTGACAGAAGAAAACGAAATCAACGCCCAATCTGCGTTTGCAGTGTCGTTGACGTCACTTCCCTCTTCCTAGTCTCCTGGGAGTCCAAAAAGCGCAACATAGCACCCCTAGACTCCTAGAGCGATACAAACTCCCATGTATCCAGATTCGGCTCCAAGTTCAATCTTGCGCCTCTTGTGTGCATCGGATATTTCTGCTCTGCGAACAGACCGAGGGTAAGGGTTTCATCACGCCGAAATGGGACTCCTACAAATCCAGTCTCATAAATAGAGAGCATCGTATTTTCAGCGGCTGAATCACTTTCGCCAGTTCAGGAAAAAACCGAAGCTGCAAGCACGAGCGTGCCCTGATTAGCCTGAACGATGTTGGCACTGCACGAGCGGGCGTGCTTGGCAGGGACGCTGAAAGTCACGGGATCGCTCCCGCAGCATATGCTAAACTTGCAGATTTAGTGAAACAAATTTAGGATGAATTTCCTGCAAGTTTTAGGCAACAAAAGTGAGCGCTGAAAATCTTTACCCCTACGGGGTGTGTCCGCAGCTGCCGAGCGTCTTACGCAACCGTAACAAAGCAAACGGTTTGTTCTACAGGGGAATCGACTGGACAACTTACCGAGGCCGCAAGTCTGAGGAACTTCGTTCGTTTCGCCGAAACAACTTCGAAAGTTACTGCGTCAACACGGGAGCACGCACTTCACCACTTCCAACGCTCTTCCAGTTCTTCGTTCACTAGCCCGACTTGGTCGACTTGTGAACCGACTTCGGAAATTGGATGGATGGATAGATGCTAATGGCTGCACCCTTTATAATGGGTGGTAGCTTGCGGCACCTAGTGTCAAAACCAAAAGTATTATTTCTTCCCTCGTCCTTGAAACACTAGTGGACTCACGAGTGTATGAGCTAGTTGGTACATCGTTGGACGGAAGCACCGAACACACAGGTATGATGCAACCTAAGAACGAAGGGCGAGGGTAAGACGGGCCGGGGAGGAGGAAGCAGACAGAACGCTGGAGAAGAAAGGGGGAAACCTCCTTCTCTCTTTAGCGTTCCGTCTGCTTCCTCCTCCCCGGCCCGTCTTACCCTCGCCCTTCGTTCTTAGGTTGCAACAGACTATAGTATTTTTTTTTTTTTCAATAAACCTTTAGTGTTGAGTGCGCCACGTCCCTGTACTTCGTCCCTGTGATGAAAGTGCTGAGCCATTTGCGCAATGGGCGCCATGAACGAAAGTCTGTTAGGTCGGGCGCCAAAATGCAATGACAAAATGCGGCTCATCCCGCGGCCAAAAAAGCTTAAAGCAAAAAAAAAAAAAAAAAGTCTTGACTTTAATATTCAAAGTAGAAGGAAAGAAAAATTGTACAAATATAAATTTTCACATCATGTCGCGCTTTGATGCTGCGAATCAACCAGCCAAAGCAGTTGACGCTGGGCCGCTGGGCCAACCGAGAAAACTTTGCAAAATAGTAGGATTGCCGATTGCGACTACTGCGATTAAACAGAACCAGGGTCTTCTACTCCTGATAAGATCCCTCGATTATCGTACCTGCCATATGCCTTCGTTATGTGGTGCAGACTGCCGTGGCACTTGCGCCGCTCGCGTCAAGCTTCACCGCCTCCCACCAGTGTGCGCGCGTGGAGCTTCACCGCAGTAGGGTGGAAAGTTGGGCTAGTTGGTAGTTATTCATCTTGGTTTTAAAAGCGCACAAAAGACGAGGACAGAAGGGGGGGGGGGGGGGGTGCTTTTTTGTGTTTTCTGAGGTTCCAATAAAACCTATCTGTTGCGAGTGAGCGCTCGTCCGTCGTTTGTGTTTCTTACTCTGTCCTCGTCTTTTGTGCGCTTTTAAAACGAAAATGAGCTTCACCGCTTCGCACCGGAGTGCTAGGAGCAGCGGCTGACACGGGGGAGCGCCTGGCTTGGCACTTAGGTCGACCTTCTTTGTCCACATGATAAGTTGATCTTTAAGTAAAAACAAAACAAAAAACGAGCAGAGAAAGAGAGAAGAAAACACAGGTCTATATATTTGAATTCGGTAGTCACGGTAGTCCCCGCGTGCAGCTGTCGCTCGAAAGAGCTGATGTAACTCTACGCCGCTAAAGATCAGTGTCTTTACAGCACAAGTGGAGGCTTTTATAATATTTTAGGGTGGTTGTTTTTGCAGTTTACGATAATAACAGTTTTGAGTTTGGTAGGCTCATTAAACTTATGGGACACATTTTTATTAGTAGACGCGTTAGCGGATATGCTGGTTCTTGCTGGCATTTTACAGAAATTATATTTACAGGCTAAGCAGCTGACTACCAAGTGTAAAATGGAGAGGGGAGAGGGGATTTAGTGTTGTGCTATGATTCACTTTTCAACCATTTTTTAATACCCATTGTAAATTTAACCTAGCTACTCTGACTAGAGTCTTCCTTTTATGCCCTATCTATTCATAAGCGGTAATAAGTAATGTGCTCGCGTAACAAAGATCACTATCATAAATCACTATAACTACCATCATTTGATAGTGATTTATCACTATCATAAATTAAAATATAGAGATGCAATCACTTTTTCATTCTCAAGTGATGTGCTAACAGATGTTGGCATCTGCTCCAAAAGCGTCAATGGCTGCTCCAAACCAATATTTTGCCTGCTACACAACCTACTACTAAAGATGAAATGTCACTTCCATCACTGCAATTGGCTTTCCCTCTGCATTTTGTAACTATATCACCAGGCGGTGTGGGATACTGCCAGAATGACCTTTAGAGGATCGGGCAAAAAAACTAAAAATATCAGCCCCCGCCTTCTCCCCCCCGGCGAGGGAGTCACCAATTTCCCTCTGGTCAAAGGCACTACCCCAACACCGGGCCCACTGGGAAACAGGGTGGAGATTTTGGGCCGGAGCCACGTGGGAGGGAGTCGCAATTTTCCCTTGTCCCACCTGCCCCAGCTGTGCTAGTTAATTTTACGTGAATAAATTTTCCCTTCCTGCAGGGAGGGCTGCCAGTCAGTTTTTCGGGAAGGGTTTCTAGCCTGTCTCGTCTCGAGGAGGGTAGTTGCTAGCCCTTCGCTTGTGGAGCCTTGCCAGCCTTTTCCTCGGTGAGGTTTGCCAGCCCTTCCCTCAGTGAGAGTTGACAGCCCGTTCCATTTGGAAAGGTTGCCAGCCCAACCCTCGGGGAGGGTTGCCAGCCTGTTCCTCGGTGAGGCCTGTTGCCATCCCGTTCATCGCTGAGGGTTGCCAGCCCGTCTCTTCGTGAGGGTTGGCAACCCTCACCGGGAGAGGGGCTGGCAACCCTCAGCGAGGGAACAGGCTGGCAACGGTCCCCAAGGGACGGGCTGGCAACCCTTATCAAGGGAGGGGCTAGGGAAAATTGAATGAAGTACAACTAACTCGCATATCTGGGGGAGAGGCGGGACAGAGGGAAATTGGGACTCCCTTCTGCGTGGCTCCGGCCCAATGTCTCAACCCTGACCCCCGTTGGGTCTGGTGTTAGACGACGAGAGAAAAATTGCCAACGCCCTCACCAGAGGGAGGAGGCGAGGGTCAATGTTTTTAGCTTTTTTGTCCGATCCTTGAAATGTCTGCCTGGCGATCATCTTCATAGCCTGGTGATACTTAAACGCATTGGCTTGTAAGGGGAAATCGGTTTTTGTTATTGTTTTAAGCTAGGTGGTGCAAACTACCACCCGTTATGTAGGATACACCCATTAGCATCCATGGCAACCCCCCTCCCCCACCGGTAGAAGGGCTAGTTCGAGGGACGGGCTGGCAACGCTCCCCGAGAGAGGGCTCCACCAGTTGATCTTGATTGTAGTTCAATAGAGATCAGTGACAGTAATTCCCAGTTGGAATTCCAACTGGTGTTATACATCTTCACTAAGGTTTCATGGTATGGGGGACCGGTCTTTCTGCAGCGCCACAGATCTCCCGAGCTAAAATAAATATCAAATTCAATATCGCTAAAATGTGGCTAATGTATACAGTAAATTATGGTGAATGTATCCCTTATTTTGTGCATTACCTGATCTTGCTATAAAAAACTTACCCAACACTGGCTATGCTAATGTGCTTCATGCAATAGATTGTTCTCAACGGCAGTCCAATGCTTGCACCATGGAATGAGAGCGTGTTGCTCTATCTTGTATGTTCTATACAGCAAGTTGGTGTGTGTGTGCCCTTTGGTGCACTCATTGGCAAGCAATCACTTCCCATATTGACTCCATGGTGATTCCACTTCAGTTTGTGATTGAGCAGAATGCAGGCCAGAATTATAAGAATTCATACAACCGATCACCAGCAGGGAAAAACGTTTCAAACAGATTTATTAGAGAGGAAATAAAGGGACAAAGCAACAAAAAAAACTGAAGATGCACATAATTTGTTTCTACAATAAAGAAAAAGACAGAAAGAATAAATCAACACAGAAGACAACAAAAAAAAGGGAGTCCAGAAGATCCTAAGTCATCCTGTTCTTTCCAGCACACTTCATCAGTAAAGATCTGCTATTCGTCAAACTCGTATCACATGTGAGGCCTCGCGCTCATGCACGCAGACGACTCCGCACGACGCACCAACAATTGGCCGGCCGTGGGACCATCAACAACAATGGGCCCTCTCTCTTTAACTTACTACTATATAGAAACAAGCTCTGCATTGTACACTGCCTATCCCTCCTCTGTTGTTGTGTCTGTCATTTTTACAATATTTCCCCTCTCGTAGCTTGCCAGGAGACATACATATGTACACACTTGCCACACTGCGGAGACTAAGAAGAAAAAAAATACACCCCCACAGCATCCTCAATAAAATGCAGTTCTCGACGTCATGTGCAGCGTAGCGCTGCGCGTAACGGCACGCAAAATTCAACGATACAAAAAATAAAACGGGCTAGCAACAAACAAAAAAAAGGCATGGCACATATGCGAGACATGAACAGCAAACAGGTAAAGCGACTTCACGCACGCGACAGGTTGTACTTCTGCTGCCAAAAAAACAACAAGCATAGGTTACAAAAAAAACATGGTATCAAAATTCGTCCGGGCTAAAATAAAAAAGTGCATTTTGTTTGGCACAGCACTCGTCTCGCTAAAGTCTGCATTGCTTGTCTGTCTCACACCCCAATGCTTTAGGAAAAGACTAATCGAAGAAGAAGCGGGGGCAAACACATCATTTAGACGCTGTTGTTCTGACAGAATGCACAACAGAAATTTACAGCAAACAAAAGAATTATAGAAAAAAATTTCATCTGATTTCAATGTTTGCTTGACATGCTATGCAAGGATTTTGGTCTTAAGACAGACAGAGCAGCAAGCAACCAAGGTAATCCTTCTTTGAGGGTGTAAATCAACTTTCAACAAATTTGTCATACAATGAGACTAACAAAAAACAAACAAAAAGTTTAAAAAGAATCTCTTGCTAACTCTTTTGCCTCATGTCACATGTTCAAAATTTGTTCGCGGTTCTGGCAGTGAAATTTTTCTTTCAGAAAAATAGAGAGATTCAGTATACATTGTTGAGTGTTCAACGTGGAGCCAATACTTTTGCTGCCTCGATCTCGGAGAAAATTTGTTAAATTGCTTCTCGAGTCAATTCCTTCTCTCCTTTCGTAAACGAGTATTTGAGCAATGTTCGGTTAGATGTGTAAAAGATGATGTTATGATGTAGCGGCGATGGCTTGTCCTTATCATTTGGTGCTTGCTGCAGTTAAGATGTGTGTAAAGAATGTACTGGCACAGCACCAAAACTCGGGCCTCAAATGCATGATTTTTTAAGGGTACCGACGAACTACCTGTTTCCAAAAAAGATCTAAGAATTACACAAACAATTGAAGTGTCTCTAAAAAAAATTTCTAGGCGGCAATCCAAAATTTTTTTTCGCTCACTACATAATCGTCTTTCAGAGATTAACTCAATAGAGTCGAAATTGTGGAATTAGTAGAAAAAATACTTTTCTCCGATGCACATGTTCAGAAAGAAAAAAGACACTGGCAAACATTGATAATACATAGAATTAAAAGCTAGGGACTGACCCATCAAGCTCATGCAACACATGCGGGCTCTTTAATGCCCAACGTGAACTGCCTGCCCCAATGCCGGAGTCGGCAGAATGGGCCACGCGTCACTGATTGCGGTTTTGGAGGGAGGAAGACTGGTTGACTACATGCAGTCACTAATTCCACATTCACTCCTAAATGCAAAATAAATACGGCGGCAAAGCTCACGGGCTGAACCCAAGAATAAATACGGATATAAAGCGGCTGCCAGGACATCCATAAATCTTTGTACTCCTCTCCTAGGAATGGTTGCTAGCAACGCAGCCCAGGGGCGCAGGAGTATTCAAGAGAACAAACCGCTACGGTTGTCTTTACTTAAAACTAAATAGAAGGCTAAGAAACTGGAAGAAAAAAGGACCATGATACTGTTCCCAGACAGTGCATCACAATATTTCGACAAGTGTAAGCATACGCTCCCCTAAACTTAACTAGAGCTTCTTTTAAATTACGAGTGCCGCAACAGCTTCCTACAACCAACAGACATTCCAAACACGAAAAGCAGAAGAAAAATCTCGAGATCTATAGCATCTTTTTACACGAGGATAAACTAAAATTAAACATTTGCAGACGGACACACACTCACCATAGGCACCCAGCACTCGAGGCAGGCTATATTCTACTCAAACAAGGCTCCGAGGTCGCGAGAATTCCAAAACCTTAAGCACACAAGTATACGCAACATAAGGAGTGCATCTGATTTCACACATTTCTTTTCGGTTAACGACTTGCCAACCCAAAAGGCGACCGAGCCCAATTTACAAATGCACCTTGCACTGCCACGAATGACCGACCTTTTGAAGGCCTCGCGGACCGCAAGGTAAAGAACTGCATCGAATGTGTGGCAACTGCGCCAAAACGGGTACACAATCTGTTCCAACTCACTACCAATGCTGTCGGTGCTCTTTGAACAATAGCGATATGGCCACTGTGTTTGGCACGGTGCTTCGTTCAGATTGGCGTCGGTGATGCTAACGCCCGATTTGCGAGAATCAGACGGAGTCGGTCACGTTCCTCAGGTACAACGATCTGCGTCTAAAAATACGTACAGCTTCTCTTCTCGTAGTAAACTGCAAACTTTCTCAACATCAGAGGGCCATGACCCGTCCAAAACCGAGAGGTCACAGTCGTTACGAACAGAAGACGGGCCAACGAGCAGTACCATCCACACCGACATATCGTCGTTCTGAGCAACAACCAGGAGGAAACAACTCCACAAGGTGCCTTTGCAGCCGGCACATTGAACAAACCCTTGTGCGCATCAACGATGTGGGTAAACAGTTGCAACGGGGCAAAAAAGAAAAAAGATGAGCCACACGGAAAGCACACCACACATGCACGGCAGACACACCAAGCCAAACGGCGTATTCTAAGTCAGTCTCGTCTGAATGGTCCTTTCGCCTCTTTCCTCTCGTTTTCAGGCACACGCAGCTTGCGTCGTCGGTCCCCCCCGCTCGACCGAGTCGTCCGCAGCTGGCGAATGGCGGGGCACAGTCTATCACAATTCCAGAAGAAAAAAAAAAAGAGGGAACGGGGTTGGGCTTCTCGTGTTGCTCTGATCCCGTGGCTGCTTGTTTCACGAGGAGTCTGCGAGGGACTTTGCGACGAGCACTAGGCACAGCATGGACGCGAGGGACGCTGCGCTGACTCCGAGGGCAGACGCCCCGCTGCCGCCCGCCTTCTGCGTCGGTGCTGTCGTCACAACGTGGGGTGTTGGCGACGGCGCAAAGTACTCTCCTGCAACAGAATGCAACGAGAATGCCGTGAGGGTTTCGTCCTGTGCCGACTTCCACTGGCAAAACAAGGTTTAGCTATCACTGCTTCCAGGCTTTCTTTTACACCGCTAGTTTCAGCTGCACGCAATGGACCTTTTTGAGGCTGCCTATGCGCCTGCCTAGCGGCAGTAGACGTGGCTTTACAGATCTTCAATGGTGCTTGCGGGACAGTGTTGGCGATTAGGTACAGCTGTCATTATAATTCCAATGTTTTAATTTTTTTTTTTGCCTTCGTCTGCAAAAATACTGATGTACCTAATAGAAAATTAAGGAGCTTTGGAAGAACCGTCAAAAATGCTTCCTGATTTGCCGATCGACAGTGCCCAAAAGGCCCACTGGGAGCATTGCAGCGACATGCGAGGGCTCCTCGGCGTGTTCGAGGGTCACAGATTGTAACATAGCTGGTTGGGTGGATCAGTGGTCCTCTGGACTAAACGCACGTGGCAGGTACTTCTCAATATAGCCGCCGTAATATGCCCGCATAAACCCAGCTACACAGCGAATCATTCCAATTGAAGATGGAAAGAAATAAGCTTGCACGAATAAATAATTACAAAACAAGTAAGCATTTCCTCAAAAGTTAGACCTTCTCTCGTCAAATTAAGACAATTTAATGGGGGAGGGGGTGCCACGACAGGCAACATGACAGAGACTACCAAACAAATACCATCAGCATGTTATTCAATTCCCTAGCAGCTCATTACTGCCAGATAAAACAGAGATCATGCGAGCCACTTGCTTCGCCACGACTGAAGGAAATAACTGCCAAAATCATGCGAGAAAAAAAAAAAAAAAACCCTCGTCTTCGTTACGCCCTATTCAAGCATGTTCATCCCTCGGAATGGAAAAAATAGGCTCACAGCTGCATTTTGACATTTTCAGGTAGCTTGCACCACGACATCCTCAGAAACTGCTCAATGCTGGAGCCCAATCGGAGGCCCGACAATTTCCCGGTCCCCACAGTGCCTAGAATGCGTCTCCAATTGGCGTGTTCCGCCTTGTGACATCACGGAGGTGTCACACTGTCGCAAGTCACAATCCTGGTAGATGCGGTAGTGTTCTGCTGCAGTCTGTTCTTTAGCTTGATAGACTACGGAAGGAAGCCAAGGATGCTGCGACGACGGCAACTCTCGCGTTCGCTCACGCTTTTCGCGAAGGGACGCTAAACACATTGGTTGGAGACGCGTTGCAGGCCCACGCTACGACGGCGAGAGCGGGAGGCAGTTGAGACTTACCCATGCCGCTGCCCGAACCTCCGTCAAAGTCCTCGTCGTCCGACGTTTCCCCATTGCCCCAGGCCCCGCTGCCACTGCCTTCCATCGTGTACGAGTCCGACTCTGGCATCACGGAGATTCGGTTTCCAAGGATCTCCTGCGCGCAAAGGGCCACACCGTCACCCGCACTGTTCAGACACGGCGCACTTTATTCCGTGTGGAAGACAGCTCCGACCACAAGACAATGTCTAAGGTAAAAATTTGCACTTCATGCGAAAACAGAGCAACAAGGTTGCCAACCAATGCTGCACTCTGCGTCCCCACAAAATAGATAGAATTATTTTTATTGTAGAAATGAATTACTGTAAATGACGTAATTTTCGCAATCTAAATTTTTGCATGTCGCCTACAATTCATGATAAATAGGTCCCGCCAGGGGTTTCCCCAAAATTTAAAATTAGGGGGGTGTCGGAATTTTTAGGGGGGATGGGGTAATTGAGAGTAGAGGAGTCATTGCGAATTAAGGGGGTGCTTTTAGAAAAACAAGGGGGGTGTGTAGGGAAATCATTGGGTCCCGCAAAGAATTCCAGTAAAATGTAAATGCATTGGAATCTACATTCAGATCCAACAGCGTCACAAAGATTTGAACCTGCAAATTGTTCTGAAACTTCAACTTCGACCTAAATCGCGAAATATTGAGCCTGCGAAAAAGAAGTTGTTTATAGAATGCATCGTTGAATGCTTGGTTTCCACCCGAATGTAGCGCTAGCGGTTTGAACTAGATGCCAAAGTTTCAGAATGAACCTTTATCTTATCAAAAAGTTATAAGCGAGTTTCGAAAATTTTAAACGGAGAAATGGTGGCCGACAAAGTTCACAACAAAGTCAACTTAGATATTCTGAATAAGGTAGTGGTCAGTTCTGAAACCATGGCACCTGGTCCGGACTGCGCTACGTCTAGCCGTAGAGTGAGCATCCAGCGATACATTCTTTATGTCTGCAGCGAAAAAAAACTGGGTTTTTATGGGGGACACACTGTACTGCAGCAAAGGCGAGAAGCCTGAGCTCGTAGCTTTGCCAGTTGCTCCACCTGTGTTTAAGCTAAGCGCAAAGAATAGTGGGCAGGGAGTTCAACCTCAAAACCCCTCCCTCTGTCTATATGCAATTGATCGGTAGAAAAATATATCACTAGATACTCCAGCCAACATGTGATATCCACTGGCCTTGCTCAAAGAAAGGATAAACATCCAGGTTAGATTTAAAAAAAACCAAAAAAAAAAACCATGTGACACTTTATCTAAGGAGATCTGACATGGAGACTTATCGTAAAATTCCTACAGATGCTCCATCCATGAAAGATAGCCCACCCCCTATTTTTGGCTTGATTTGACATATTTTTGTAGAGACCGAAAGATGGCCCACTCTTAGCAATAGTAGTGTTGGGATCAATGATGACCTCGGCGTAAATGTGGCTAGTTAGCTATGGCACGATATAAGTGAACGTTACTGACTGGGAAGTACAGTCATCTTTGCTTCGTTGTCCCTCACCATCATAACGAGCTTGGAAGGGACACGCCCTAAAAATAGCAAATGTTTTCAAACTTTTCGAACTTTTCTCGATTGTACATTAAAAGTTAGCCCAATCCATATTTTTAGCCGATTTGCTCTTGATGTTAGGTGGACTATCTCTCAAGATTTTAGGGTATACTCACAGTGGTCATGTCATTGAGCTTGTGCACCAGGACATCCAGTCTGGAGTCCCACAAAGACGTCTCGTAGGACACCTCCGGATTGGACTTCTGGGCTGACGTCCCCACCCCCGCCACAGTCTTGGTGTACCTGGGACAATGAGCGGAGCAGTTGAAGGATATGCTCTTGCGTAAGGGCCACAATGTCTAACACATCAGCCAACAGCAACCAATAAGACGTAGAGGAAACAGATGAAAAGAAGGCGGCACATCTAGCCTCACCACGAAGAGGCAGGAGACACCGAGGACAACACAAAAAAGCCCCGATACAGAAAAGTTCATGTAGTGCCAAGTCTTGTTACCTAAATCATGAACGAAATGCAAACAACGATGATAGAAAGAACTTGAAAAAGCGGGAAAGAAGTTACGTCTCTCAGCAAAACACTGGCTGCCAATCTGAGGCTTGCACGAAGTTTCAAGTTACATAATGTCATCTCATGTGATGGCATTGCATATGCAACGAGAGCGATTGGTAGCCCAAACCCTGCATGCCTGAGGCAATGGAAGATACAAAAGCACCGGTCAGGACACCGCACTATCGAAGATGCCGAGGACAGATAAATACTATGTATTCACACATATCACAATTCGTATGCCCCAGCAAATATGATGAAGGGTACTCACTCCCCGCTGCCAGCACCGTTCCAGCAGGGCGTGTCGTGGGTGGCCTCCATCCCGCGCCCCGAGCACAAGGTCTCGGAGAGCGAGGAGAAGAGCGTGCGAGAGTCGTTCAGCCGCTGCATGAACTGGCGCTGCTGGGTTCGCAGGGACGTGTTCGGGCCGCGCAGGGCCGCCGTCACTCTGCGCGGTCCAGCCACTTCCGCCGAGCTGGCGTTGCCCAGTCGCCGCTTGGGGTCCCCGCACTCTAGCTTCACCTGGATCGACGCGCAAGAGACGCTTAGGGAACGCACCATGCAAGAAATGGGCCACTCGGAGACGACCAAAGGTATTCGAGGAATCGTAACAATGGAAAGTACCACACAAAAGGTCAGAATGAGGAATTGATGACGATACTTGAGGAACAACAGATAACACGTTTTGAACGGGTACGTCTCACGCACCAACAATGGAAAGGCAAGTTTTGTGCAGGATAGTTCACTGGTCACGTTTTAACTCGGAACATTGTGCCAGGATCGTCCTTTTTAAAACTTTACGGCGAAACAGACTGCATAAATGGATGACTCGGATGAGCGATATTAATAAGACTCAATATTTACCATAACCAACTTTCAAGCAGCTAGTAGAATCGGATCAGCCGCAAATCAATAGGTCCAAGTTCCACAGGTTTCTGCCATTGCGCTAATATGTCTGCTCGTTAAAGAAAGGCAGTAGAAACATAACGGGGACCATCCTAAGCGATTGAGTAGGTCCTGAAAGAATTTCTTTCCAAAGGGCCAAGGAGAGAGACACACAGGATTATGAAGAGAACTAAAAAAGAAAACATTGTAAGGCGAATTGCTAGGCAATTGTGTTGCATACGTAAAACATTTTATCATCACAAACGTTTAGCGATACTCTCACGGCACTCTTCTTCAGATAGTTTAAAACATACTATGTGTACACTTGTTAGTTGTTCTTGGAGGTTCACGTATGTGTGACAGAATTTGCTATCCGAATTTGTCTACTGGGAGCAATTGCACCTAGTGGCTGCACCGACATGCAGTTGGTGCCACGCAATGTAAATTTCCCGCTAAACTTGATGGGGAAGCTGAATTGGTGTAGAGGTCATGTGGCATCGAATCACATCACGTCAATTTCCCCACTAAATTAACCGGAGAAACTTAATTGGCGTATAGGTCACGTGCCATGAAGTCATGTGACGTCATTTTTCCCGCTAAATTTAGCGGGGAAACTGAATTGGTGTTGAGGACATGTGACGTCAACTTTCTTGCTAAATCTAGCGAGGAAACTGAAGTCATGTGACGTCACAAGCCACAGCTTTAATTAATCCGGCTTCACGAAATCTGGAGCAAATATCCAAAGAATGTTCCATGTGTAAATAAAGTATTTAAGGAGCGCTCGTTTAAATTTGATAGCTAAATTTTCCGCTCTAAATTTAGCAAGGAAACTGAATTGGTGTTGAGGTCACGTGATGTAAATTTCCCCACTAAATTTAGCGGGGAAAAGGATGAGGAGAGGAAAAGGGGAGGGTATGCCCCTGCTCCTCTCCCCTCCTTCTCCTCCCAGCGAGGAAATTGACGTCATGTGACCTCTACATCAGTTCAGTTTCCCCGCTAAATGATTAACCCACCCGGCCCAACCGGCGTGCCGACGGCCCCAGCCCTGCTGTCTGCCCTCCGAAAAGTCAATCCCGCCGCAAAGCGCCCACTCACCCTCTTGGAGAGCTCCGGCCCGTTCTCCATGGCATGCATGACGGCCTCAGACACCTTGGAGTCTAGGACGGACAGAACCTCCTCCAGGTCGTTGGAGCCCACCATGCGCAGCAGCATACGGTGCAGTGCCGACACCAGGTCGCTCCAGGGCGCCGCCAGGTCCTCGACGCCGGCCAGGCAGCCGCGCAGGGTGTTGAGGCACAGGCCTGAGCAGGGTCGGAGCTCTCCGCGCGAGTGCTGCGGGGCCAGGCACGCGGGGCAGCCCAAGAGCTGTGCCAGGGCGCGGCCACAGCCGGGCGTCGGCGTGGAGTCCGGCACGCTGGATGCGTTCAGCACCTCCAGCGCCACGCGGGTGGCGCGCAGCAGCGTCCGCGCTGCACCCAGAGACTCCAGCAGGGGGCCCTAGGGAAGGTGATGCGGACCATTTGCATTAGGCGGTGTTCATCAGTCCTGCTCAATATAGCGCGCACTTCTCGGCGTGGCGGAACGGCTGTCTAAACAGGACACAGCAAATGCCGTGAAGGGCAAAGGAAAAGTGAGTACAATTCTCAAGTAAAGCGAACGCTGTGGCGCGAACGTATGTTTTCAATGAGGACACAAATTTACTTACAAATCCTGAGACAAGGGAACAAACGAAGAGGGAGGAAAAGGGGACAACACAACGACGTCGTTGTGTTGTTCCCTTTTTTTTTCTCTTGGAGTTTAAGAGTACAAGTATGATTGTTTACCAGCTAGCTTTTACCCTTATTTCCGGACATGAACCACGCAAACAGCATGGCCTCCCTCCTCGCCTGCTCGCTTTCGTCTCCTCCCCTTTCCTGTTTTCGGGAGGTTGAGGGCTGACAACAGCGGAGGCCTTGATGGCGGAAGCAGAAGGGAGCTCTCTCCCAGGCAACGAAAACGTCTTAGAGTCGACCGGAACTGGAGGAAAACCTCCGTTTCCTGTACGGCAAATGCTGTGACAGCAAGAAATGCGTCCCGTTTAGACAGCCGTTCAGCTGTAATGCGCGAACGTGGGCCATTCCACGCCGCCTGTGCCATACTGAGGTGCTCCCAGGAGCACCGCAAGAGGAGGGGACGTAATAAGTTTTCGTGTAGACCGCGTTTCCCCCTCCGCTAAGTCCTCTGCAACGAAGAAGCCGCTACTGTGCCTGCGCGTCGATGGCCTTGACTGTAGAGTTCCGGGTATCGTAGTGGGTTGCGGAGAGCAATGCAGGACGGCGAAAAGGGTCTACGAAAACTCCCTTTAATGGAGCTTCCCACTGGGCATCCGTGGTAGGGGTTTCCCAAGGAATTAAAATTACGGGGGGGGGGGGGGACTGAATTTCCAGGGGTCTTAGAAAGAAAGTAAGCACAAAGAGGCTTTTTTTTTTGCATTTGGAAAGAGATGCGAGCGTGGTGCCCGACGGAGGTTCTTGAACTCTACATTCAACATGACAGCTTAAACATTTAATGAAGGATGCGTAATTTCCTTAAAAAGGCACAAAGTAAAGCAAAAGGCAACGTCAGAAAACATCAGTCACAATATCAATACCGTGATACCGCAATGAATCTGAATAACGAATATATATCACTGGGAAAACCTCTCCTCCGTTCTTCTTCCCGTCAATTGGAAGAGGAGCTATTCAGCGCAGAGGAGAGGCGACGAAACGGCTCGTGCTCTGATGCCACTGTTTGAGCCAGCGTGCTCAAGGAAACAAAGGTTTCATGCAAAACAAAATGTTTTGTTGTTCTCTTTTTCTTTTTTTTAGCAGAAGGTTCTTTTAGGAGGGGCTCTCAGACAAACAAGAAGGGGGGGGAGGGGTAAGAAAATCACTGGTCCGGGCTGCTTCATGGGAACACCTGTACGCGGCACGCTAGAGAGGCCAAGTAGCTGCAGGATATGCCAGGAGAGTAGGGACTAAGTGCAATGCTCTCGTAGAGCAGCATATAGCTGGACATATTTTGACAGTTCATGATGTCAATGGCCTGTGTAAAATAACCACGTTTAATGCCTCGTCCACCACAAACTTGTTAAGGGCCAACTTTTGAAAAGATTGTGTTAAAAATCGACAAAAAAAAAAGATGCAAAAAAAAAGTGGCTGTCTGTTTGGCATTTTTCAAAGGCATTCTATAAATGCAGAGCATTCGAGAAAAAATTTCCAGGAACAAATCTTTAGCCACAATAGATGTCGGGGAATTGCAAAAAAAAAACAAAAAACATACTAAGCTAGATATTTAACTAAAATTTACTAATCAGCGTTTTAATGAGTGAAAATAAACATTTTAGTGCAATGAGAAACTTGCTTCATCAAAAATCACTAAATGAACTCCTTCGAAAAAGATACCAGGCAGGGTCAGCATTTTACGGTGTTCCGAAAGACCGTTTATAATTTGAACGTATTTCTGGGTTTCCTAATGGAGCCCCGGTGGCTGAGGTGCAAAGCTACCACCTCAGCTTCCTTGTATGAAGGAAAGTATGGTGCACGTGTGCTGCATGTCTCAGCCTCTGGTCTCGGCCACCGGGGAGCAGGACCGCTTTCGATGATGCTTAGCAAGTTTCTCCTTGCAGCAATATGTTTATTTTCGCTAATTAAAGTAAATTTTGGTTAATTACTGACCTAATTAGAATGTTTTTTTACTTCTCTGACGACTGCCAAGGCTGGCAGTGTTTGTTTCCCAGTTGAAACGCCTGGTATGTATGAAGTGCCCGGAAGACACTTGAGGTGTCTGTGGAGCAGACGCTTCCGTACAATGTATGAGCAACCCTATAAGTGCTGAAAGAAGGAAGCGAGGTACCTGCAGCCTGGTGGGAACGTCCCCGAAAGGCCTGAGCTGCCCCTGGGCCGAGCGCAGGCAGGCCTTGTAGTCGTCGCTGAAGTCGTTCAGCTTGGGGTTGACGGTGTGGAAGTAGACGAAGGGGAAGAGTTCATCGAAGAAGGCGCCCAGCTGGGCCTCGGCCGCGGGCCCCGGCGTCCCCAGCAGGTGGGCCTCCAAGGCCGCGAACAGGCTCCGCACGGGGGCGCGTGCCGCAGCCGCCATGCGCTCCGCGTACACGTTCGAGAAGAGCAGCTGCGTGTTGCGCTCGGCATCGGACAGCAGGCTCAGGAAGCGCTCTGCGCGGGATCAAAAACACGCCGTCAGGTGTATGCCCGCTTCCATCCCATCGAGAAGTTACTCTCGACCTTCACCTCCAAAGTACTCATAAAATGCAGTATTTAAAAATCCCTCTATGGAAGACATTAAACAGTGATTTCGGGGAGCGAAAAAAAGCACAATGTTTATTAATGTGAAAGCATTAACTGTCCCACGGAGCAAACCGACGTCATGAGCGATGAAGCCGCGCCAAACGGCACCTAAACTCCCCTGTCCCAATGGAGCAAAGTGAAGCCGCGAGCTGATGAATGCCTTTGGCTGGCACGCATCATCAAGGAACGAGGCTCCCATTGGCTCTCGTGGGGCGTACTTCCAAGAAACGCCACAAGGAAAGTCCTCTTCATGGCGGAACAGCGCACGCAGCGGCCCGGCCGCCGGTAAGAGGGAGCAGTGGCCACACAGCCCGCTCGGGCAAACTCCGGAGAGGCTGCACGGCCAAGCTCAGCACGACGCGGCCACTTCACGAGAGCGCGCGCTCGGCCATCGGCACTAGCGAAACATGACCGTCCACGCCAGTACGCCGGAGATGAAGGGAGGGAAAGAACAACATTCATGCTTTCGCATTCACAACTCATAAGAAGTGCTGGTGTCCTCGGAATTTTTATTTTACGTCAAGTGACTTCATGTCCTGCGACATTAAATCCCCTCTATATTTATCAGAAAACTTGAGAGTCTCATGACCTGATGTGACATCACCGTGTCTGGTAGTGGTTAGTGCCGCTGTAATGTGGTGTTATAGCAGCTATTGGCAGTTGCATAGCCAAGAATTGTTTTCAGGGGAGGGGAGGCGGGGTGGGGGGGTTGAAGCTCCATGAGCTCCCTCCCTGGCTACGCCACTGGCTAGTGGTGTCAAGACTCATTCACACTGAAAAAAAAAAAAAAAAAAAAGTAACAAAAGGAAAGATTTTTTTTTTTATTATTATTGACAAAAGTGTCGTGTCATGGAGGACGACGAGGACGTCTCTGGACCCAATTTTTCCTCAACGCAAGCGCTTGAGCCATTCAGCGAGCGACGGGACGTGACGTACAAGTAGTGTTTTTCCACTTAGGACCTGTCTTTGCTGGTTTTATTTTCCGTCCCCAAGGAAGGTGAAAAGGCAGAGCAGTCGAGGGATTCGAGAGAGAGAAGGCTTGCGTTAGCATCTCCTCTTTTACAAGCCTTCTCTCTCTTGGATGCGCGCAGTCGCCAAACATGGCTGGAAGTATTTCAGTGCAGAGAAAAGCAAGCCGATTGTAACATATGACTGTGAGCCGTGTTTTCTGTGCGTGTACGACGCTGTGAAACTTCATCGTTTGTGTAAAAGCCGGCACCGAACGGGGAACTTGCAGCGTGCTCCGACCGCACAAAAGCGATCACTCCCAATGTTTCTTGTGCACTCTTTTTGTGCGCACCACCACCAGCACGGGCGTAGCAATGTGCTAAACTTTGTTTCCACAAAAATGCACCAAAAAAGCACCTCTGAAGCTGTGCGCTCAAATCTGTACCTCTCACGTATGTTGCATAAAACTGCAGTGTAAACATCTACGCACCAACATAGTGTTTCCAAAGGAGCCCGCTTTGCCCACACCAGGTGTGGGCACTGCGCATGCGCGGAGACAAAATGCGGGAGGAGTGAAGTGTCTGCGCATGCGCAGTACCGACAGCAGCGCCACCGCAGTGATGTGACGTCAGTAAGCAATTCACTAAAGACGGTTGTCTCCGAGCCCATATGCAATCACGAAGGCAAGGCAACAACGATAGTACGAAGCAGACGAATAAAAAAATCCCATGTTCTTTAGACAAATGCGAGGTTCCCCGAAGAAGACGCCGACGTCGGGTGGCCATCTGCGACTGCACCTGCCGACGCAACAAAAGAATGTAAAAACAAAAAGCTTCCCAAATCTGCGGGAAATCGACAAGTTCAATCCTCCGAATTGAGTGTTCGGAAAAGGTATGATCTCGATTCTCATCGATGGTGCCATGCATCGTAAATTCAGAGCCCTTTGCCGGACACCGAGTTAGGCTGAGAGCGTGAAACGTAAAATGACGTCACAGCGGCGCTGAGCTAGGAAGCTGGTATTATCGTCGCTGCGGGCGTTGCAGCTGGAGCGAAAGGGGTGTTGACACAAGACGCCGAAGAGAAGCGTGGCCCTGACAAGACGCCAAGACACGTCTGGACCGAGAGGCAAGATTCACTTGGCAGTTGGGTGGTCAACTCTCCGGCAGCTCCGGTTTTCGAAACGCTTTTTCGAACGCTTTTCTGGGATGAGAGGGAAGCGTCTGTCTCCCGCGAGAGCTTCCCGAGAACACTTGAGTGCGAGCCTCGATTGTGCACGCGCAGCCACCGGCGAAAGGCAACGGGCGCCTGCTGGAGCCCTCTTGCGGCTTCCATTCTTGACGTCACGACCGGAATTTGCGTCGGACGTCACGGGTTGTGATTCTGGCTACTCTAAACAACACAACCGAAGTTGACAGTGTGACCATGTCCATGGTCTGACATTGCTTTATTTGCATGGACGATATCGGAACTATTCCCACTAAAGACATCATAGTGAGCGTTTCGACTGTCGTGTGGCCGATCACATCGACGCTTTTGGTTGCACGTCGCCCATGCAATAAAAACGCATAAAAAAAGAAGACACAGTCACTGGCATAATTATTTAACTTTTTTTTTTCTTTTTCTGAGGGGCGAGCGTTGCGGCGTAGCATTGGCCCGAGCAGGGAAGCCAAGCTGCGCAGCGGGGCGCGCTGTCGAAAGCGAATCCTTCCCGCGGGGACGTCAACGAGCACGACCCCGGACGCCAGCACCGTCGTCGCGTGTCTGCTGGAGTCCGCTCATTAGAAACCCGCGCCTCATCAACGACGAACCGCGGCCCTAATGAGGAGGACGCCCCGCCGCGTTCTTCCAACGTCGTCTGCTTGTCGTCAGTGAGCAGACGACGCGTTTGTCTCGCCGACGATACCGCGAAACGCCGCTAAGTTGCGCGTGTTGGGCCGTGACGAGCGGTTTTCGTGCGCTCGGTTGTCGGGCCCAAGCACGGTGTAGGATGGCCCTGAGTCGGCTTGATTTGCGACGCCCAGCTAGAACGGTTCGCGGCCTGCAAGTATGGCCTTCCAGAACGGATCATCATTTTCTCCGCCGCCGAGTCGGCTGATTGCGCGCGATTCCGCGAAAGGCGCAGCTAGCTGATGTCATTTCCCGTTTAAAAGCGGGCTGCACCATCACTCAGGAGGCCCGCGGTTCGTTGACTAAATGACGCCTGTGAAACCGGCCAGCATCCCGAGAATCGCCAAACGGCATCAAACGGGATCTGAGCGGCTTAATTACTCGCAGCCTGTCCGCACCTCCGAGAACATCATGCGTGCGCGATGCTACGCGACTGGGACGAGCACCTTTGTTCGCATGTCCCAACGCCAGTTAAAACGGCTCGTGATCTCTTTGGACGAGAGAACACCTATCGGGTGGAACACTTCTAATTGCTCTATATTTCTTACTTTTTTTCAAGCATCGATGTTCTTTTTTTATTGACTCAAAAACTTTCGACGATTTTATAAACGACCATTTTTCATTGATCTCGCTAATAGTGCCCTCACTCTAGTGAAGTTTAGTTCCAGGGTAACTTCATAGATGGCGCCAGCGTGCCACTGTGTTCTTTCGTCGTAAGAGATCACAGGAACTCAGTCGTAAGCAAATACAAGTGTGTGAACCAGCCTTTACTGTGCCGTACTTCACACGGAAAACCTAGCGCTGCATCAGTGGCGTAGCCAAGATTTATTTTATTTTATTTTTTTTAGGGGTGAAGCTCTTTAGGGATTAGCCATGTCCGTATGTCCGTCCGATGTCCGGCGTCGGGTGCTCCCGTGCACGTGCTCCCGTGCACGTGCTCCCGTGCTCGTGTAAGGAAAAAAAAAAACGCATCTTCACGTGGTGAATGATGTTGATTGGGGCGAAGCTCTGGTGGTGCTTGTCTGCGTAGACGCTGAGCCGCAGCATGCCGAGCCTTTCGTTCGTTTTCATCCATGTCAGAAAGAGAATGTGTGGTATGGAACGTGGTTATATAGGCATTTGAGCATTTGACCGCAGCGTGACATGGATGAAAACGAACGAAAGGCTCGGCATGCTGCGGTTCGGCGTCTACGCAGACAAGCACCACCAGAGCTTCGCCCCAATCAACATCTATCACCACGTGGAACTGAGCTTGTTTTTTCTTGTTTTTTTGTTGTTGTTTTTTCTTTTTTGCTTTTTTTTAAAGAGGGAGTCTGAGGTGGCTGGGTTGTTCATGACCTGGGGTTCGGAAACGGGGTCAAGATGCACGTGTACATAAGAAGGTCGGCTAAGATTGGCATGCTACGCTACTCCGCAGCGTGCCAATCTACTACGGTCGTCGGTGACGCATTAGGGAGTTTTCGTAGACTGCGTTTCCCCCTCCGCTAAGCCCCCCACAACGAAGAAGCCGCTACTGCGCCTGCGTGCCCATGGCCTTGACTGTAGAGTTCCGGGCATCGTAGCGGATTGCGGAGAGCGTTGCGGGACGGCGAAAACTATCTACGAAAACTCCCTACTAACTAACCGAAAGATGTTGGGGATACCGTGGAAAATAGTCCCGTTCGCACGTTCGGAGTAACGCGCAACGCAGTTATGACAGATCTGATTAGCAGCGCAGTAAATACCCTCCGTAGGCGTCTTTAATGCTTGCCAGAAAAATTGTGTTTTTCACTCGAGGCGACGCAGCAGTCGGTGCATCGAGCTTTCTACGCGTCATTTTGAAGGGCAAACAAATATAATGTAAAAAGGTAACCAACATCCCACGATGCTTTTCAAATTAAAGCAGCAGAAACGTTTACGGGATTGCGGAACTTTATTATATCTTAATATACGCAGTAATGATTTCAAACCTGGGATAAAGCTGGAGTATAAACGGTTTCAACAATATCTTGGCTATCATGTAGCGCAACATTGCACAACCCATTAACTACAAC